CAAGACATAAAAATTTTCATTTCCCAAGTTGGCCTTTTCGTGCAAGCACCATGCCATACAGCGATTCACCGTATATGTGAAAAACCCATCACATAAAAATTTTTACTGTGGGAAGGAGCGAAAAAGAGAATATAACACGTCAAAGGGCACGCAGAGAGGAAGGGAACTTGATGCAAGAGGGAAGAATGGAACTCCGCGGGTTCTGAATACACGAGTGCTAACAAATCTCGAAGAACAAAGGCATCTCGAGGAAGCCGAAGAGTCAAAAAGCTGGTCCAGCATATTGCAGGACCATCCAAAAATTATCTAGGACGCCGCCTAGGTCAGGATCGCCAACCAGACGATGAATTACAGCTGATCAAAGTATCGATGGATCCTGCTCCAGGAACAGGGTGCTGTCCACACTGCTCCCATCAACGAATGGAGCACTGTCCTGTGAACAGCAGACAGCAAAAGAATACACTCTCGCCTCCATGACAGCTATTTCATTCTCGAATATGCAATTATACGCATGGGTAGACCGGAGGAGTCGAGGAGGCAGAAGTTTTCGGAGCGCACAGATCTCTCGCCAGTATAAAACCAGAAATGATTTCCCCGATTTTTTCTACAAATCTCAAGTTTCCATCCGAACTATCAAAAAGCTAAACAGGGGGGCCATCCAAAAATGCAAAACGAGCAGGTCAAAACCAGTTCAAATTTTGTGTCAGTATTAAAGATTTGTGGATTATGGATCTTTCTGGCGCCTGAGTTACGAAGAATATCGTAAGAAGGCTTTAAACTGTAATAGTGTAAGCCATTTAACATTCTGGCGCGGATTAAATATAAACATTTAGATATTATTAAAAAAGCATAAATCGAAACTTCTCCTACCTTCGTGTTTCGTCTTTGAAAAACAAATTATAATGTTTAGTAGACGTTTTCGACAGACGACTCGTAGGGGGTAATTGTCAACAGTGTACCACCTATCACGCGAAGAGTCATAAATCACTCCATCGTGAGAACGAACGAACGGCGAGCTTATCGGAGGGATACAACAAAAGGCAAGGAGGACAAACAATGGGTCACTGCTGTTCATCGGCAGTGTTTTTCGGTCGAGGCATATCTGTCGGGGTTCCTCGATTCGTCACAAAGACCTGCGGAGGACGAGATATCTGTCTGGGGGGTGGAGCTTTACAGCTATCTCTGCTAGATAAGGGGTTTACGTACAGATGTCAGGGATACCAAACTAAGGGGGCATTAAATTCAAATGTATTTAAATATTATCAAAAAAAAAAAGACATAAATCGGGATTTTTTCTGCTCCCACTCTCTTGTTCTTTGTAGACAGATTATAATGTTTGGTGTGCCGTTATCATCAGTGCCGATAATAGTATGTTACTATCAGCAATGAGTGTAGGGTTGCTTTAGTCTTTCAGAATGCAGCTAGAAGATTCCCACCCCTAACCACTCGTTCAGTTGTCTGTTTTTACAGCTAAGGGATGAAACACATTCTTACATATCTTCTCTGCGCACATCAGAGATGAACATGTCATATTGCTTATATTACATTTCTAACACACTATCTTTTAATCCCTTCCACGTGCGTTGGTAGATTAGACATGGAATATTCAAGTCGGACCTTCCTACTCCATTCCATTTAGATTATAATTAAGAATATCATGTTACTAGCTAAAGGGCAACAAGCTTCTCTCCAGCCGAAGCAAAGGATGGATGCAACGAGAGAGTATTCTTTTCCAGTCTGCTGTTCCTGAAACAGGAACCATTGATTGCTGTGGGCAGCACCAATCCACCGTTCTCTTTGAACGTTTCGAGATCCAACTGCATCGCCTGGTGGTCATCCTGACGACCATTCCTAGACCAAATTTTTGGGAAGGTCCGGCGAAAGCTGGACCGCTTAAACGCGTGGGAAATGTTCGTAATGGGCAGATATCCCCGAAATTCTTTCCCATCAAAATTCTTTAATTT